GCTTACAGTAAAAGTGAGCACAATCAGTGAAGTTGAATACTCTGCACACATCCAACTAGCAAGTTCAGTTGAGAAGGCATAATGAAGGATCAGTTTATTTGTGTTGTAATGCTCTGAAGTGGTGGAAATTGAGAGGCCTTCTACAGTGTAAGAAGTCTTTGTAAAGATACCCTTCCTCAGGTCAGACCGTTTGAGATTTTGCCTGAGAGTATTATCCAAACACTTCTTGAACTCTTTGGGCTTGGTGCTGTGACCATCTCCCTCAGGAGCTCATTCCAGTGCCCAGCTACTCTCTGGGTGAAGAGTGTTTTCCTAATATCCAACCTAAACCTTCCCTAACACAACTTAAAGCCATTCCTTCAGCCCTGTCACTAGTCACCACAGAGAAGGGATCAGTGCCTGCCCCTCCTCTTCCTCTCACAAGGAGGTTGTAACTGCAATGAGGTCTCCCCTCAGACTCCTCCAGGCTGAACAGACCGAGTGACCTCATATGGCTTCCCCTCAAGGCCCTTCACCGTCTTTGTTGCCCTTCCACCTCTTCTGCGCTACCTATCCCTCCTGTAGAGCCTGTAACTGGCTAGCAGGGCTCCAGGACTCCAGTCACAGGTGTCATCCTACTGGGTTTCACTTATGCCTCTCATGTCAGATCTCTGTGACGGGACTGAATCTTTGAGCTCCTCTTGTTTGTTCCTCATGCTGGGTACATCAGTGTAGAAACATTTCAGATGTCGTACTTTGTGACCAACACCTTGTGAAGCATATTGAGGGATCCCATTAGTGCTTGTTTCTTCAAGTTTTTGCACACCATCCCATGGCTCATCACTGGCTGGTGATGTCAGTTTCCCCCTTCCAAGCTAGTTTAAAGTTCTTTTAGCGAGCCTCACTAACTCCTGTGCTAGAACTCTTTTTCCCCTCTGAGAAAAGTGCATCCCATCAGGTGTCAGTAGACGAGGTGTTGAGTAGATCACCCCACGGTCAAAAAAACCAGGCTTTGCATTCTGGGTATGGCAGTAACTTGATTTATTTGTGCTTGTATTAGCAAATAAAACCATTTGTAGCCTCTCTTAGAATGAGAGAAATGCTTTTTTCATCTTTACCTTCAGCTCGACTGCTATATATTACACTAATACCAAAATTAAGATGGTGTGTGCTCAGCATAGACTGTTAAAGGTGGTGAACTGTCATAATAGCTTACAGTCCAGATCCATCTTCATTACAAGTGTAAATATTAATAATTGAGAATGTTGAAATGTAATAATTAGAAATTATTAAAGCAGATACTGTATTTCCCATGAAAAGCATGGCAAGTGGTAATACAGCCTGCTTTCCCTATTTTTTTGATAAATAAAATCAATTTATTTGCTCATCTATTAACCCTCATTCTGAGAAAGAAACTTCCATTTCAGTGCATATCTCTCACAGTTTTTGTCTTTTCTTAATTACTCTGTCAGGAAACCTGCATTTAATATTTCAGCTCTGGTTGGACTACTGTCTGTCCTAGAAGAGCTGTATTTCTGCTTCAACTTTTTATTCTATTTAGTGTTTCCAAGAGCTTGTGGAGTGTAGCTCTCTTTAAATGTCTGTACTAGTAGTTGTGTCTTATGCTTTGCTGATTTCAGTCTAGCAGTTCCCCTCATTTCTGCCCAAAGGTCTTTTGCCTGATATGGGAAGAATTGTGGCTATTTAAGGAGCAAAGTAAGTAATCAAATTTTATGCAACTGGATTGCATCTTTCAGCAGCTGCTACTCACCCTTTGTTATAAAAGAAGTTCAGCACAAAACAATATTTATGTAGTGTCTTCTGTGTGTTTTATCACGAGTACTTCTCATGGGAAACATTGATTGTCTGTAGCGGCTGGAGAAGCGACTTGGAGTTACAGGCCTGATACTGGAGCTGGGGTGAAAGAAGAATTCCTCTGCAGTGAGATAGGGTGAGAAGACAGGGTAGGGAGGAGAGGCGTGGGTGGGCAGGATTGTCCAGTGATGGAGAGTAGGAGGTAAGGAAGAACCTGTCGGGGAGATTGGAGAAAAAATGAACTGGATTCCAAGATAAGGAGGAGTTCCGTTTGTCTAGGACACTGCTGGTATGGTATAATGTCAACTAGTTCAGATAGGTAGTCATCCAGGACAAATAGAGTCCAGGGAGGATATTCCTGGGGCAGAGAAGGAAGTAAAGGGCAACAAATATAAATTTTCTCTTCTGTTCAAGTTTTACGTGCACCCCAAAGTTTAGTTATTAAACCTGACTGGATTTTTTTGTTCCTTGTTCTCCCTGCTCTCTTATTCTTCTTGGAAAAAGAAGTTTTTCTTTTTCCTTTTTTTTTTTTTTTCCCCAGTGTTCTAAACCCTGCATCTGACCCGCTGCCTGGCTTGCTAGTCTCTTCTTTGCATGCAGTTTGATCACAACATGAAATCCAAGGGTGCATTTTGAGGGCTAGCACTCTGTGGTTTACCAAGGTTTATGTTTCCCTAAGTTACAATTCCTGTAGAGTGTTCCTGCAGTGCTGTAACTTTCCTGCAGACAAAGAGGCTTTATTTCAGGGCTGCCTCTTATCAATTGCTTTATCTTGTCAGATTTGAATGGGAGAAGAATAGTTTTATGAAGATAATAGAAGAGGAAAGTTACTTGATGTGATCAGAGATGTAGAAAAAAACAATTTTGCCTGCAGAATGGTTTTGACTTCTGAGATTCTTTTGTATATGGAAGATTTCTGTTTTAAGGCTAAATACAGTTCAGTAAGTAATACTTTAATGCTTCCTTAGAACCACCCTGCTTCCCATTTGTGGTGTTCTGGCAGCTTAGATCATCTTTCAGGTTCCCTGAAGTTTTATTTTTTTTCATCCACAAAATGCCTCTTCTATAATAGTATTTTTGGGAAGGAATTGTGTTTCACAGATTACACAGAATGGATAACATTATTTCAAAATCTTTGTGAAACACAATTGAAAAACAAAGCCTGCAGTGAGAGCTCTAGGATGAATTTGTCCTCTAATGCAGGGAGTTGTGTCTTACCTTACTGGTAAGACAAATAGAGTAGACTACTTATCTTTTATTTTTTATTTCTCAGTAGAACATTTTATTTGAGCATGACAAGATAAATTCTCCATATAGCTGCAGCCACATCTGAGCAAATAGCAAAGATTTTTTTTCCTATATGGCAGCTGGGGGGAAGATTTCTCATTATTTGAGAGTTTTAAGTTTAAAGTAATACCATCATGCTCCCCAGAAATAGTTCTTAAAAATCCACACCCTCCAAAAATTAAAGATAAGTTGAATAGGATGTCTTTGATAATGATTTGTGCAGTAATGTATTGCACCTTCACCTGAAGAATGTAAAATTTGAATATTAGTGTAAAAGTGAATACAAGGAATTATTTACATAAGAAATTCTGGCAAAAGTGATAAAAGTCTCAATTTCTACAAGGAAGGGCAAATGATAAGTAAGGGCAAGAAATCATCCCTGTAGCCAAGTCTGTGAAGGATATCTAAAATTTGTGTGCTTAAAATGTGTTTCATTCTTCTGACAGGAGATGTGGTGGTTCTTTAAAACCCAAACTTTAACTGTGCAAAACTGCTTTAAAGTCACCTAATGGGGTCTCTTAACCACAGCTTGCACCACAGATGTAGTCATACCATCACATCATCTAAATGTAAATATTGGAATAATTTTGTGCATTCTTTCCTTACGTGGGTCTACAGTAATGATACACTCATGGGTTAAATAATTAATTAATTGAATAAAATAATTAAGTAAGATGGCAAGACTTTGTGCAATGTGCAAATGAACTTTACATTAACCCTTTAAAGAGTTGAGAATGGCACTCTTGCTGCTTCACAAAACATTTTCCAAAGGGAGAGTGATCTTAAAGTTTGACTTAAAATAAGTATTGTAGATGTCTTCTATTATTGCTTTCATACTCAACTTTTTATCTTTTTCTTTATATTTCTTGTTTTCAGTATTACCTTGGATTACTTTAGCATCTGTTTTTCTTAACTGTTTTTGCTATTAAACTCTGTCCAATCTTTTGAGACATCTACAGTTGTGATCTGAATCTGCTTCCGTTGGAACCCGCTCTGATAATGAAATGGTTTTGGTAGTTTGGGGTTTTTTTAAACCTTTACAGAAAAATTTTGATTGCAGTGCTGTAAACATTAGCATATGCATTTCAGTTTATACACAGCTAAGGTCTCTGACTTCAGGATAATATTTTCCTTCTGCATGAATGATGGAGTTTTGGGGATTTATGTTTGTGAGAATATTTTTTATGATAGAGAAAGGGAAAAAGAAAAACACATCTGCCAACAAACATATAAAAACTGTACGATGTATTTAAGAAAAGTGTCTCCTTTCCCAAGTTTAATAGATGTGTTAATTTACTGTTTATCTCATGTAATGATCTTGTGATATGGGAAATTAGTGGCTTTGTAGATGAAAAGTGTATGAGTAAAAAAATGCATTCATCTTCCTAGGCATCATCTGTTCCATTGACAAAAGGCACAGATGTGAAACTTATCTCAGTAATTAATTTATAATTATCATTCTCAGATTGATAAATCTTGCTCTCTCTGGCATGTGATTTCAAGCTACAGTTCATGGAACAGAAATAGCTTTAGTTGTTGGTGATTGTAAGCTTGAGACCATGTTTCATATTGTTTATTTTTATATTTTATAAAAAGTGTATGGCAGAGAAATAAGCTGTAGTCAGAGAAGAACATTTTGTTAATGACTCTACAGGGGAATGCTGATCTTTGCATAGAACAACAAGAGTGCAGGCCTGAAAAGTAGAAATGGTATATTTTCTTTGGAAACTGCTGCATTTGCCATTATGCAGTATGATTGTGGACTTCCTGGACATGCTTACAAAATCAACAGTAGCTCTGGTTTTTTAATAGGAAACTGGGAAGTCAAGGAACACAGTAGCAGAATCTCAAAACACCCATGTGTGATATGTCCTTTATTTTTGATGCTAATGTCTTCTTTCCTTTCTTTTTGCCCACAGCTGCAGAACAAGTAACAGGAAGAGTTTGATGGGCAGTAGTCAGTCTCCAGCTCTGCCTCGGCCTCATTCACCACTCTCAGCTCATACAGGTGATTTCATAAGTATCCTACTACTGCTGTTATAAAATTCTTAGAATGTCTGTATAAGTAAAGGAAAACAGACTCTACTCTTCTTTTTCCTGCTTGTAATAGCAAAAAGTTGCACGCCTTTCCATCCAAACTTCTGTTTTATATTTAGATCCATAAATCCTATGTTACAGTCAAAAGCAGTCCAAAAATATATAACATGGATCACATAGCTATTTTTATTTCCCCACCTTGCATTCTGATACTTTTTATCTTCCCCCCATTACTCCATTTCTTGTAGCTTGCACCGCATGTTGAAGATAGTATTGGTGAGCAGCATGTTAATTCTATTCCTGTTGCTTTTGCTCCCTAGAATTTATAGTGTGAGGCATTTTGCTGGTAATTTCTGTGCTTCACTTTGCATGGCAATAAATCGATGATCATTTTCTTCTAAAGCACCTAAATCACTAAAGATTGAATGAATGTCCATAAATAAATACTTTATTGATAATGATTGTCTTAATTTAAAAAAAGGAACATTTTTAGCATGTCAAAACTCATTTCCGTAAAGGTTTATTATCTCCTTATATTTTTGGGGCATTGGCTGTAACTACATGCCAAAATGAAAGTGCTGCACCAGTCCTTGTGTAGTCAATGACACTGAATACTTTGGAAAACTGCTCTCAGGTGGATACTAAATGAGGAGATGCAGAGTTTCACATGAATTTTGGAAGAGGGTGTTGAGCTTATTAAGGCATCTCCAGTTTTCTTGTTGAAGCAACATTGTTAGAGAAAGTATAGTGGTGATTTTCACTCTGAGCAGCAGCTGTCACAACTAGTAATCCAGGCATCATGAAGATTTATGAAGAGTTCAAGGCAGCATTTTAAGAGTATTTAAAACAGATAAAGAAAAACAAGATGCATACTCTTCTAAAACTGAAAAATTAGATGTTGGAATATTTGGGATCCCTGTTTGGGTCTCCCAAGTGCAGAAATTGCCATTTGGAAGAGAAGATCTATGGTTACCGTAGAAGGTGTATTTAGTTGTGCTGTGCTAACTTGATGAAAGCAATAACAATGCTTACTCCGAGAACTGGCATGTCTGATGCTATGAGTCACTATACCACCTGTTTGGAAACTGCTACCTTGGACCTAATAGGCTTCAGAAGTATGCTCTGACCAGCACATGTTACGTGGGATCTGGATATAGATTGTGTATTTGATAAATATTGAAGAGCTCCTATCTGGCAGTGGACTTGAGCTTTCAGTTTTGAATTGATTTCTCAGACAGTAAGAGGAGAATAATGTTGCTGATGGCACAGCTGTTGTAAAGTGGCTCTGAAGGTGGAAAACCAATACTATAAGTAAAGGGACATGTTAAGTGTAAGCAGTTCTTTTCCATAAACTCAGCAGTATGTACTGTGTATTCAAAAATGTATTATGAATATTTGGCAACTTCGCCAGTTACACAGGATACAGTACATTCCCTTAGTTGTATACATTCTTCCAAATGATATGCGCCAAACACTTCACCAGCACTAGGAAATCTCATATATGTGATGAAAATTTGCATGTTTATGGCTGTCTCTGATATTAGCTTGCCTTCATGAATAGCTAATTACAGTAAATATTGGCACAGTCATTGGCTCCTTGCTCAGCTGGCTGATGTGTTTAGACAAGTATGTACATCAAATCCCTGTGAATGTCATCGTAGTCTGCAAAAATAAAGATACAAATTTCGTAAGTTAAAAATTTTCCTCTAAGTATGTAGTAGGAGTTCAGTGTTTCAAGTGTTCAAAATATGTAAATCTATGGTAATGTCAGACTTGAGAGGCTGTGGATTTTTAGTGATGCTGTATTTTTATGTTGTTAGAGCTGCCAAGCGTTAACTTATACTGGCTTCTGCACACTCAACTTGCCTCCCTGCTCTCTGTGGTGGCCTGTACTGGAGTCCTGTGGCCTTGCAAAGTGTAGTAGAGGGATGTCATGAGAGACTGTGTGTGCTGTACAGTTTACTGGGTTTATTCCTCTTGCCAGTCCTTGTCTGAGAGGGATTACTCCAAGTCAGAGAGGCGTCCTTGACTTCACAGAGAGAACCTGGTATATCTCCTGTCCATCTATAGATGATTTTAGGCTGGGGGTTTTTTTATTGCATCTGGAAAGTAGGTGGAAATGGAACTAGAAAAATTCTGTAAATTGAAGGTTTTACCTTCAATTCATGGTCCTGTGCCAGACCATGTGCCAAGAGTATGTACTGCAAACTCTAAGTCTCAGAGGGACTGGAGGTGATCCTCTGACACCTTCACATATTTGTTATGGATGCTTGCTTTTGCAGGAGGAAACAATAGGGGAAGGAGAGGCAAACAAAAGTTTCCAGTCCTAGAGAAGAAAGTAGCAAGCTGAACATGCAGCAAAGTATTAGTGCTTGCCTTTGCTGAAAACAGGTTTATTCATTAGACTTTAGTTGGCTGAAGCGCAGTAATAACGTGCATTTTTGGTAAATATGTCCTAGTGAGATTATGGAGAATATGGAGGACACTGGAGAGGACCTGCTGTTCTTGTGTGTTGTCAGAGTTCAGTTTTGTGCGAGGAATCTGCCCAGGTGAGTTCAGGCTCAGGATCTGGGTGCATGGATGCTCACAGCTAATCTAACTTTGTGAGACCATTACACGATTGCTTGTCACTGGGTGTGAAAGGAAAAGACTGATTCTTGGATCTGCCTTTTAGGGGACTCAGTCTAACTGGTGAGAACACTGGGAACTTAAACCACTGGGGACTCTTGCGGTGCCACCTGTCCGAGAAACATTTAGCTTCTGCACATCACACCTTTTGGTGGGTCATGCTTTCCTCACTCAGTTATGTGCACCAGTCCTCCTCAGTGTGGGAGAAAGGTTGCAACAAACCCAGACTGTCAGTTTTCCTAGATACTTAGTTCATGTTTCACCTTCTCAGCATTTTTATGATGCATTGAGAGTAATTCTCTATCCTCTCTTTATTTTTGTTTTGTCTGTTTTTTATTACTTCGCTTCCCACTTCAGAAAAATCCTAACGTGCTTCTGTGAGTTAAATCAAAAGCATTGGTAAAGATATGTGGCCTCTGAGAATTCCACTTTACAATGCTCTAGTCCCCTCGTCTAATCTTCTCTGTTTCTTGGGGATCTCAAGAGTTCTGCTTAAAACACAGAATGTTCTTCTGTATCTAGAGCAAGGAGAGGTAGTGCATTACAGATCCTTTTTAGTAGGAGGAAGAGCTATTTTGGGCATAGAGACAGAATATTATCTGTCAGCCAGCTGGGTCCTGGCTCAAGTAGAAGTCTATCTTGCAGTTCTCATTCAGATGTGATTAGGAACGTGTTTGGGACTTTTATATGCTTGGACATAGTGATACATATATACAGCACTTTAGGCCAGAAGTTATGATGTCTGACTGTTTCTGTTCATATGCTGCAAAGTTACGTTATACTGTCTTTTCACGTCTTGGAAATTTAACTGAGTTTGGGCTTGAAACGTCAGACCGGCATGAGTTTACCTTGCCATGGCTTATGTTCTGATATAGTTCTGAGAGCAATCACATTTGCTTCAAGGTGAGAAATTAAAAGGAAGAGGCTACTTTAAAGGTCTGGGCATACTTTGAAGTCACTTTGCTTTGGTATCCAGAGGTTCCTTGTTGGACACATTACTGATTCCGTGAAACAGGAAAATGAAAGATATCATCTGCTGTGGTTTGAGTAATTCAGACAGAAATATGGATAGATTACGCATGACCCTTATTGTTCATGTCTTTTAAAAACCATTTTGGCTTCTGGTTTCACACCATCAATGCTTTTTCTGACAGATGTGTTTTTCTTGGGATACTGGATCCCACTACTATACTTTCTACTCTCAGGGAACTCCATCCATCTCTGGGGAGAGCCTGCTGTTGTCCTTCCTGAAAATAGTTCCATTAGTTGTTCTTATTTAAGTGGACTAAGTTCTTAGTATTTGTACTGTCTTAGTTGCCAGCTGGGGTTAAATCACAGCAAAGGGATGAGGACCTGCAGTAAGAACTCAGTACCACAGAGCTGCTCATCCACTTGTACCATCCCCCTTCGGTTGGTAGGAGAATTAGAAAAAAAAAAGAAAAGTAAAACTCATGGGTTAATATAAGAACAATTTAATAATTGACACAAAGTAAATTAAAATATAATATTGCTACTAATGATAACAAAAATAATCATTCTAATGAAGAGGGAAATAAAATCCAAGAGAAACAAGTGATGCACAATACAATCACTCACCACCTGCTGACCAATGCCCAGCCCGGCCCCAGAAGTGATCAGTCCCTCCTGGACAACTCTCACCGTTTATATGCTGGCCATGATGTTCTGTGGTACGGAATATCCCTTTGACCTCTTTGGGTCAGCTCTTTTGGCCGTTCCAGCTTCTTGTCTACCTGCATGCTGGCAGAGCACGGGAAACTTGATTCAGAGTTAGTACTGATTAGCAACAACCAGAACATCTGTGTGCTAACAACATTATCCTCATCCTGAATCTAAAACATAGCACTATATCAACCACTAAGAATCTTCAGTGTTATCCTGGGCACTTCGTGTATAGTCCTAATGAAATTGTTGGCATTGCTTGGGATTTCATTGCCTCAGAGGCATCTGAAGTCAATATTTTCATCCCTTGTGAGGACACCCTTGGATCTACAAGCAACCTCTTCCCTTCTCCATTAATTCCTTGTAGTCCTGTTTTTCTCTCAAGGATGGCCTGAACTGGAGGCACCAGCTATTTTGTAGTTAAGATAGACAGTCTTTGAAGAGAACCAGTGGCCCAAGTTCAGGATGACAGTAATTGCCCCTTATGAGGAAGTCATATAGAGATCTCTGGCAAATTTCTGCCCGTCCCCAGTTTTCATTGTTTGTTCTGGAGGTAATAGAGGATTGCTCCTATAAAGGAGTCTGTTGTTAATCTTTTCAGAGTGTTTCCAAATCAGCCTGCATCTGTACATTATGTAGAGTTTTTTAACTGTCATCCTTACC